TGCCTTCTAGAACATTTCACACTGAGGGTTTAGTTGAAACAGCATGGCGCGCGGCTCCCTTAGGGCCCTGGTCGCAGGGTAGGTTTGCTGGAGGTTGTGGTAAAGGCCATGACAGTGCAAAAAGTTTCCATTTAGAACTATGAAAGTATCAACCGCAAAATAAGCAGGTCAAAGAGAGCTTTAGCGGAGTAAAAATCATGAAACTGTAGGGCTCAGTAACTACCACTCTGACTGCAAACATGCGAGAGGCAGAAGGGCAGAATTTCAAATGCTAAACAAGGATTTCGACCTAGAATCATCTTATTGAACATATATAGACAATGATGACGCACTTATCTAGTCCTCAGCAGCCTTTACTGGCTTGAATGTTATTGAATACACGTCCGGAAATTACTATTGAGACGAATGGAGAGTAAGTAATGGTTTTGGAAATTTCTCGAAAGAATCTACTTCATTTCAGTAAATCCCCCTTGTTTTAATAGTTGTTGAGCTTTCTCCCCTTCAATATGATCATGCCTTATTCCTACCATAGCTAAATCAGCATCGATGAAGTGTATGTGCAGTAAAAGGTTCTGGTATAGAGTGTTTTGCCCATTTCTCCCAAAGCCTTTATCTCTCTAGATAGTTCTTTCTCTATGAGCCATTTCTCAGCTCTCGCTTCGGCTTGTTGTCTCGTATGGTCACATTTCCTCGCCTGTCTTGGTTAGTTAAGTTGGTGAGCCGTATGCCGTTCATGAACAAGCCTCTGCTTTCTACTCCTAATCTTCTCTCGGTATTGCAGAGATGTAATGAGGATTATAAGATCACTTCACTTCATATTTCCTATCATTTGAATTCGATGTCTCTGATCAGATTTCCAATTTTGCAAGCAGAGTATTTCGCATACAAACCTCCTGTGGTTCACATTACTGAGATAAGGACCTAAAACAATTGAAAAGGCATTAACACAAGTAGAAGACCTACAACAGAAGCGAAGAAATGATATTAAAAATTGAGAAGCTGGAAACCAGCAGACTACAAAAAGGAAGATTCTGTACTTGAAAACAAATGGGCTAAGTGCACAAGAACTCTTATAATCACCAATCGAACACTCAAAAACTGATAACAAAGACGGCTTGTGTATGACACTTTTTAGGATCCATCGAAAAGAGCGGTTCCGATTTAAGACTTAGTTTGACTTGACTTTTCAGAAATTTTGAAAAGACCAAGTGATTGGTCCAGTTGTTTTCGAAGGGAAATGAGTTAGATTCCATTAGAAAACTACTTTTCCCAATTTAAACTTCGGTGCCACTGAAACTCTTCTATCTCTCCATCTTGCTAGCTCTCCCCCCTTCCTTCTCTCGCCCATACTTCCCTACCCTCACCAATACTTTTAGAGGGTGTGAAAGCGGCACCGGCAAGTTTACTGAGAGTACTAAGAAAGTTGATTGAAGCTTCCAGTGAATACTGTACCCTGAATTTCTCATAGTTCACTCACCTTCATAATGAAATCTACTTGAGGGGTAGTTTCCTAAAAACAGTGAGAATGAGATCAAGTAACAAATAGTACACGGTCACTGTCATATGCCATGGTGCTTGCTACAATGTGGAAACAGGTGAGCCATCAGAATGTGCAAACACGAAAGGTAGCATAGAGCAGCCTGCGGTAGCAAGCAAGCATTAGATCAAATCTGGTTATCAACTTTATATCAACTTCAATGGGTGAAAGGTAAAGTCTCTTGTCGTTGATCAGCCGTGTTTTAGGATGCACCAACATATCCGGNCACCGAAACGGAAATGATGGACGGCTTGGTGGGTTTGGGCGAATATCGAACTGACATTCCATCCTCAACAGTGAACAATAATAGGGCGTCACTTTCAACCACACCACTTTCACCATAAGCAGATGAAGCACAGAGGGAGAGGTTGGAACTTCGAATAGCTACGAAAGGAATCATTTGGGAGTGAGAACTCTTCGTCTGTGAAAGCTCAGTTACTATCGAAAAAGACTCAGAGCTATCGGTCATTGGTTCATTGCTTTCGCTCATAGATGAACCCTCTGTAACCACTGCCAGTGTTTCCTAATTAGACTTTTGATTATGTTGAAAATGAACATCCAGCAAAGATTAACATTTTTTAGAACAGTAATTTTGACTCATCGATAAATAACAGGGGTTATACAAGACGCAGCGGTTATACAGGAACTACATATGTATGGCCAATGACATGGAGTGTGGAATCTCCCATTGCAGAGTCACCATTAGGTAAGCAGGTGTTCAAATCAGAGAAGGCGCGTGGTTGTCAGCTGCTGTAGATAGAACGAGTTTGGAGTTGGCACGGCTTCTTTTTGGCTTGACCTCATTGCTTTTATTTTTTTAAACGAAATGTGCTCCTACAGTATTGACTTGATGTTTTGTTAAGTAATTTTATTTCGTCGCCGTCGCAGTACCCGGAAAGCGCAAGTACGGGTTCGAGTCCCGTCCGAGACTCCGAGACTGAAGCTATGACCATAAATCGCCGAAATTGTGAGAGTTTCTTACAATATTCCCCTCCCTTCGTTCTTCTCATGGAAGTACGCATGCAATTATATAAATCACGAGAAAAAGAAAAGCAGAGCTCCTCAACAGTCAGGAAATAGAGATCGGATCTGTAAAGGCTGTAAAGGAACTACCTTGGAAATAGAAGAACCTGTCGGAACGTCAATTTGGGAGTGATTTCATGCATTCATGACCATGGTCGATTATCAATTCATTAACTGTTCATTAAAGTATGTGGTTATTATGACTCACCCCAAACTGAAACATTCCACAGAAGTCAGGGTCATTGGGGATGACTTATAAATTATAATTGAAAGTGGTTCGATTTCGGAATTGAGAACCTCCCTCCTGGATTCCTGCGAACTGCAAGAAACCTACGATATTTACGTTGGAAATGAAGGGAATTCTTGGATCCTTGTATGCCGAGTCTGGTACGACCTGAGTGGAAACCTCAGTGAAAATCCTGANGTGGTTATTATGACTCACCCCAAACTGAAACATTCCACAGAAGTCAGGGTCATTGAGGATGACTTATAAATCATAATTGAAAGTGGTTCGATTTCGGAATTGAGAACCTCCCTCCTGAATTCGTGCGAACCGAAAGAAACCTACAGATTTACGTTGGAAATGAAGGGAATTCTTGGAACCTTGTATGCCGAGTGTGGTACGACCTGAGTGGAAACCTCAGTGAAAATCCTGACTTGTATTGAAGCTATTTATTCAGTTTGTATTCTGAGAGAGAGTTGATCTGGGCGGAACTGGTGAGTGACAAGCGGCGCACCAACACACACGCTGGCCCAGGGTTTGAATCCCGTGTCGG